GGTGGTCTTCAACCAGTGAGGTGGCATGAAGAATCCTCCTGGTAGATGAGTATCTCTGGTACACAGAACATTGCTTGAAGCGACTTAAAATGACTCACAATTAATCCAGAAGAGCTAGGGTATGAGAGTGAGGTTCCTTGGGACTGTTTCACTCTTGTAAAAATGGTCTCCAAAACAAACTGAACAGTAATAGCTTCTTGCGTTTGTGTGGAGCTTTGCAATTTTAATGCACACTGTCCCCACAACCTGCCTTCAGTAGACCAAGATTTATCTCTTTGGCAATTTTGAACCGAGGAGGGTTTTTTTTTCTTTTCATCGTCAAGTGGCTGGTCATATCAAGGCCAGGGCTCAAGTGCTTAAGTTTCTGCTCTCAAACAAGACTCATTGTGTCCCATTCTGACAGGACCCCTGCTTGTGGAGAAAAAAAAAAGGGGGGGGACAGGGAGGAGAGGATGAGCTCTTTAGTGGCAAAAGCAAAAGGTTCCTCTCCAGAGGCAGAGAGGACTACTTTATAGAATGTATGACAAATGCACACCCACTTTGGCACAGGTAACTGAAAAGTTGACAGAAAGTTAACCAAAATATTTCATGTTATGATGTAAATGAAGCACCATAGGAACAATTCACACATAGAAAATATCTTAATTATGGCCCAGAATAGCTTCCTGAATGTCTGAAAACAACAAGACAGCTTTTATCAATGAAACTAGCAGTCAGTTCCATTGCTTCTTTAATATTTCCTCAAACAAACAATGAGAACTCATTGTTCTCCCACAAGTCACCACAAACTTAACTGCTACATTTTCTTGAGCTATTGATTATTAGGAATTTAAAATACACCCCTATGCTGCATAGAAAATCACACTGCAGTCCCACTTTGCTGCCCAACGCCACTTCTGACTTTTTACAAGACAGATGAAGGCAAGTTAGAATAAACCTGAAAGATGACCTTGAAGAAGAGTAGCGTGTTATCTAACAGGTGGCCCCATTTTCTTTGCCTTGAAGATAGTTGAGTGTTTAGTGTGGCACAGAAGAGCTGCTGGGGGCAGCTGCTTAGCTACTCCAGCCCTCTACCTCCTTGGGTGTTCACGGGGTGTTTGTTTTCCCCTAGAACTCAGAGCCACTTCTGTTGTGTCACTTTTGGAAAAGTACGAGCAGTAGCTACCCAGACTACATCTATGTTATTTTTCCCTTCTTAAAACTAGCATTATTGAAATATAATTCATGTGCCATACAATTTAGCCATTTCAAATATACAGTTCAGTTTTTCATATATTCACAAGGTTGTAGAACCATCACCACAATGTAATTTTAGAACATTTTTATCCCTTATAAATAAACAAAAACAAACCCTCTGGTAGTCAATTCTCATTCACCCTGTTCCACCCCTAATCCTAAGCAACCCAAGCCTACTTTCTGTCTTCATGAATCTGCCTGTGCTAGACATTTCACATGAGTGGAATCATATAATATGTGGTCTTTGGTCCCTGGCTTCTTTCACTTAGTATATTCTCAATGTTTATCAAAGTTATAGCCTGTATCAGTATTTCACTTTTTTTATTGTCTATTGTAAAAGTAGACCACATTTTGGTTTTCCATCAATTGATAGAAATGTGAGCTGTTTCCATTTTTTTACCTATTTATGAATATGGCCGCTACAAACATTTTGGTAGGTTTTTTTTGTTTGTTTTGAAATGTGAATTAAATCTGGTAAAATGAATAGCCATCACTTTGGCCAGATGCAACTGAAATTTTGGTGTTCTGTGACGTAGGGAGAGGGTCTGGAAACCTCTTTTCTTCAAGAGGGCCTATCAGGAAAGTTGACAACAGGATTTAATTTTAAATCTATAATCTACTTAATCTTAGTTACATATCTATAAGAGTATATTATAGTGTGGAAGGGGGAGAGAAAAATATTAGGAAAGTTTTTTCACGATGTTCCACATACTTGCTTAGTCCCTAACTGCACAGGTGCTTATGCACGTGCAGGCACATAACATACACACTCTCTCTGCGTGCCTGCCTTTGGTCCAGCTGTCCTAGCTTCCTGCTGCAGAAACAAAGTGGATGGGCAAGACCAACAACCAAAAGAGGAAGCTGAGCCCAGGGCCATTGCTGCAGGTTGGAAATACTGGAAGCCCCTCCTTGGGCCATTTGGAAATGTTAATTAGGCTGGCTAATTCCCACTGATCTTGGGTTGCCAGTGTTGAGTTGAGTGTGTAGGCTTACCCCATCCATGGCTGTACCTGTTCCCTTCCTCAGAGCCATTCCAAGGGGTCTGAATAACCCAGATGGCTCTCTGATCTCCCTCGCTGTCTGCCTTCCTGATGGAAGGATATTTAGCACTAAAGCTGAAACTCTGGTCCAGTATTCTCTCTCTCATCCATGCCAGCTCTCAAAATTATTCCCTTTCCCATTTATCTTGAATGCAGTTAATTATTTTCCACACTGTTCAGTAACAAGAACCCAGAGAGAGGCAGCCACTTTTCTTGTCCGACCCTGTTCAGCTTATCCCAGGTGCAAGTCCTGGATGGCACTGGCCTTGGAGACGAGAAGTTTGGTTTAAGACCTTGTTCTTTTGCTCCCAGTGAGTACAGCAGAGAAAACATGCCACAAAAGACCCAGCAGCTCTTCAAGAGCCTCCATGACACAGAACTCTGTGGAACACAGAAAATCTTCAACCAAGATTATTTCTTGTGTTTTTAATCTATTGTATATTTTCCATTATTATTTAGTCTCCTTATACCCCCATGCCTCCCAGCAATCACCACACTTATCCATATCATGAGTCCTTTTCTCTTTTTGCTCAGTTAAGTCCTCGTTGATATCCAGAGTATCAGAGAAGTCACATGAGCCCAAAGAAGTAAGGCATCTCTCTCTAAATGACTTCCAGATTCTCTGGGTTCCTGCTCTGTCTAAGTCCCTGAGTGGCACACTGGCATATGAGTTATACCTGAAGGGGTCTCCCCAGAAGGGTCCTGCTCAGCTGTTTTTAGGTGTGAGCAGGGCCAATTCTTGATTCCCAGCACCCCTAATGTGTAAAAAAAATTACATTTAAGACATATTAACCCCATAGTACAGTGTCTTTCAATCTATTTTTTTCATTATTGCCCCACCATGGAGGCTTCTGAGACATTTTTATTTTCTAATTTGTCCCCTTCCTGAAACACCACAGAAATACTATCTGTCTGTTTATTTACCGTACTTATTTCTGGGCTTTATGCACATAAGGAGTGAGATACTTTTGCCTCCCAGGGGGTAACATTGCCCCATTAGAATACATACGGTAACTCCCCCACCAAAGCCCCAGGGGTAGGGGCTTCATCTGCTTTCTTCACTGCTATAGCCCAAAGCCTAGAACAGCACCTGGCACATACCAGATAGCCAGTGATGAAAGAATGAAATAATTATGCTTTGTGTCTCTCCCCCATATCCCCAAACATCACACATCTTTTATCTTTCTGTCCCTCATCTCCAAGCACAGTGCTCTCTTCTGGTGCCTTCCAGCCTGCCCAGGAGACCTGCCACCTCATGCTCACCCCTAGGGATGTATCAGGAAGCTTATAGCCAACACCTATGTTCTAAGTGCAGGCCCCTGCCCTTTGGTAGCATTACCCATGCGTCAAAGGCTAGTGATATTGCAGCCCCATGGAATAAGGTAGCCCCCAACTGTCTCTGCCTTTGCATCTCCTTAACTTACCCATGGATTGAAAGTTATTGAGACATTCTTTTTGGTGCAGCACACCACACCAGGCTGCATCTGGGGACACACTGGGGAGAGATGCAAACCAGTCCTCATCAGCAATTACAAACAAGCCTCCATTGTTAGCTGCGCCATCTGTTTTCTTGGTTTCTACCAATCAGGTGTCTCTACGCCCAGCATAACAAGGACTGAGGGGGCTGCAGGGGAGAGAGATCAAGGAGCTTCTCCATGAGACCCCCTTTGCTCACCCTGGAGAAGTTCCATGGCATGATGCCTGGACAAGCTTTACGGCCTCAACTCAGGGAAGATACATGAAGAGAGATATTACGTGTGGGTGTTTTCTGTGACAGGAAATGGCCCCACAGCACAGTGTACTGGGGTGGAAATAGGAAATTTAATAACCACATTATCTACAGGACTCACAGAAAATGTTCTACTCTGTTACCAACAATTAACACCTCCCAAGAACTTCTTGTTCCCTCAAGCACAATCGCTGTGGTAAGAAGGAGTAATTAACAGTGGTTGGAAATCAGGTAAGACAGAGAATGCTGCTGGATCACCACAACCAGTTATTTATCCTGAAATTCCTAACCCCAAATGACTTTTTGTTGGGGGCAATAGATTTTCATCATTAGATTAGAAAAGAGTCCCATTTAAAAGTATGTCAGTGGTTGTCCCAATGGCATCTGAACCACCAGTCTTAGAGACTAGCCCTGCTCACTGTGCCAGCCTTGGCAGGCATGGTCAGCAGACAGTCCAAGTTTACAAATGTGACCACTCGGACAGCACCCTGTGTCACTGATAAATGTCCTTTGTCTGGGTTTGATTGTGGTCCAGTGATGCTAAATTCAAGAGCATTTGGGGATGGGGTGCAGAGCAATGGCCTGGATGCAGAAAGAGGCAGCATTTGCTAAGAAAAATCCATGTAGAAAATAAGATGTGATTGAGAAAACCTGTCGCAAATTACAGAAAAGCTCAGATACCCTCTCTGGCTAGACATGACTGCTGAGATCCTGCTGCTCCTCAAGTGAGGGCAAACATGGTCCAATTTCACCACTACAGAGTCCCCTTCCCGACTTGCCCTATGCACAGCATGCCTTGTGCCTTTTTTCTAGGGATTGTCAATCACAGGTGACACTACGACTGAATTAACACATTATGTACAACTCAGAAACATGGAAAAGGAAACTTAGAGACATATAAACTCACGTACATTAAGGGTATAAAATTTTTTAGGTCATCCATTGAATTCCAAATATTTGTCTCGGAAAGTCTTATCTTTGACTATATTTTACAGCAAATCAGTCTGGAAATATTGGGCAGCAGGAAAAAGGATACAGTGGTGAGTACTGCCCAGTGTCTTTAGGGTTCACAGTAACATCTGTTTAATACATCCTAGGAATGCTAATGTCTTCTTCATTTCACAGTTGTAAATGTGACAGCAGCTATAATTCTGTCCTGCCAAGTTGAATTTTAAGTGAATTTTTAATTCCTAATGATCTCTAAGCCTGTGACAGCACTCAGGAAGCCCAGGAATAAATGTATTATTAGCACTGTGTTCATTATCAAGTTGGGTTACCGGTGTGCTAGCTGTATTCATTTGATTTTATGTTCTTTTTCTTCAGATTAAAATACATAAAGTTCTCATTGCAGTATTTGAGCAAGGTAAGACCAACACTTCAGCAGATTTCCCCAACCACCCTACTCTTGGGGATAAGTATGTAAAGTCACTAACAGACCTCCTTCAGTGGCTAACATCTCACTGAAATATGCCCTCCCCTTCCTACTGCTCCCACCCCACTTCCCAAGGGCTCTGCCCACACTCCTGCCCCTGCATGTCTGTGCTGGGAGGGAAACTCAGCCGCGCCTTTCTTCTGCTACTGCACTCTGGGTGGAATCTGACACCAACACCTGCCGTCCCAGAAAGTGTCTTTGTTGCCTGCCCTATTGTGTTGGGAGCCTCAGGGAGCCAGTGGACTCAGAGCTGCCCCCCTTTTGGTTGCCCAAGCCTGGAGGAGCAAGATCTTGAGATGGGCCACTAAGACTAAGATGTAGCACGTGCTGGCCTTTGACCACTTGCCTTAATCAGAGCCTCCAAGGCCTCAGATCAGGAAGGCGTGTTGTCCAGGGGGCTGGTGAATAGAACAGATGGGGGAGGAAGAGCAGACAAAAGCTGAGGGAAAAAAGGGTGGAGAACCAGGGAATCTCAAGGTTTAGGACCCAGACGGCAGGGCAGGCACTGCAGGTGCTGTCTGTCTTGGTCCAGGTCCTTCCCTGTGTGCACTGACAGAGAGCCACATCCATGGATTCAGGGCTGGCTGAATATCCTCTGCGGTGGCCTGGCTATACCAGTTCATGGGCTGACAGGTGGAAAGGATGTGAGATGATGATGACATGGAGAACATCAAGCTGTCTTTCATTAACAGCATTGTGAGAGTGGAACACAGGGCACAGACACCAATCACTGTCTTAATAAATGTGCAAGTGGGATGTTCCGGCTCAGATTTTTGGTTTATCCAAAACACTACTCTCCCCCACCAGGCAGGGGCTGTTGTATCTGCAAGCCACTCAAGCAGCCACTATCACAGCTAGCTGACCCTCCAAGCCAACTGCCCTTTCTTTTCACCTCAGGCCCTTTCCTTTGACCCAGTCCTGGAACAGTATCAAACTGGGCTCCCTCACATCAGGTTCTAGAGGCAACACCAGCCACAAAACTCAGGTGCTCATGATGGGCCAGGCAGAACAGGGGAGTACTATTCCCTCTAGCACTGGGGGCTTCATACAAAATTCTTGATTTGCTGGGACCACCGTATTCATGTGTGTCCTCATGCTTCTTACACAAAAGTGGTGAGTGGGGCTCAAGTGTCCTTTAAATAGGAACCCCCCCCCAGTTTTCAGCAGGAAGAGGATGAGTGTGTTGAATTGTCTCTTTTGTGGCCCACCTGCTCATTCCACAGCTATCGCATCCCCATCAGTCATGGGGTGTGGTGGGCATGGCAGAAGCCATTGCAGGCTGAGGATGTGCCAGCAGAAAGTTGGAGACTAGAGGAATGCAGGGGGACAGTGTGATTCTGTCTGTAGCATGGAGATGGCCTGCCCCTTGCCCTCAGCTGTTGCAGCTACTGCTTTCAGACAGACGTTCAAAAGCCACTTTGCTACAGAGGTCCATGCAGCTGTTCAGAGTTGGCATCACCCTGTCCACCTCTGCCCTCCCTGGGTGGGAGTGGAGGGGTTCAGTATTTTCCCTTTACTTAATATCCTATCTTTGATCATTACTTTCTCTTTCATTCACTCTCTTTTTTGTTTTGGCTTCCTTCTCCCAATGTGAAATGTTAAAAAATTTGAAGTAAAGGCATTTCAAAATGGAACATTTTATGGGATTAAATGCAAGTTCCTACCTCTGACTACAAAGGGACAGAGAGATGCCTGCTACCAGTACAGTCTCTTGCCATAGATGACAGTATAGCTGTGTTGTCTTTGTCAGAAGCAGCCTGTTTTTCAAGATGAAAATAGAGGGGTGCAGGACCCCTCTCCTCTTGACCTCACCAGGAGCAAAAGAGAGGAGAAAGCCCCTGTGAGGGAGCCCCAAAGTATAGTCTTGGGACTCACTGGGGAGATGGCCTCCTCAGGTCCAAGCATTTTGCAAGTATTGATTTTAGAGGCTCTTCCTAGAAACAATAACATAAGGTCAGAATACAAAAACAGATTCTGTCAGATACCTTCCATAAATTAATTTCAAATGCCAATAATAATAAAAATTTCAAAGGCCAAATCCCTGGAAGTGAAGCATCTTGGGAGTATAGAAGCTTGCTTTTGAGGCTTGTTCCGGAAGCCTGGGTGTAATGAAGCAGGGTTTAAAAATAGACTGTGAGGGGGGAGCAGGGTGATGAAATGATCCTATCACCTACAGAACTGCCCTGGGGAGACCAGACTGCACTGGCAACAGTGGCTGTGTATTGCAGCAAACATTCCTGTATTCCTCTGAGCATGCTCCCACAAGCCAGGGGAAGGGGAGTGCTGTGGCCATGCAGGCTCATTTTACTCCCTTCACTCCCTTTCCCTCCAGTGCTAAATAGCAGTCTGCTCATCTGGACCCATTCAGACAAGCAATTTAATCCTGACCTCTCATCTCAGACCCTTTGGGGAATAATGGAGTTATAACTCCTGTGAAATATTAATATGTAAATATTAATTAGTATTTAAAGATTAGTATTCAATATCAATATGTAAGTAAGGACTGGAGCCAGAATCACAGACAGGAAGCCACAGAGTGACCTGTGAAGTTTTACTTGTTTTCTCATTGACTCTGCACAGTGCTGCTTCATTTACGCCTCCTCCCTTTACTGTAATGAGATATCTTTTCTCTTCATTCTTCATTTCGGGATTCGACAGTAGGGCTCAGTTAATTTCACAAAGATTTGTGATTTCTTTTATGCTTCAGGAAAGTCCAGAGGAAAGGCATTCATTTGTTGATTCATTCAGCAAACGTCAGCACTCACAGCACTGGGAAGGCATCAAACCCCTTCCTGGGGATGTGGATCCATTTCTTCTGAGTGCCACCTACCCTCCCTTGTTTGCATCTGTGCCCACAAGGGCCTCACTTGGTGCCATGACTCCGTCTTTCTCTGCTTCTTTTGCAGGGCCCTGGCCACCAGCCTGAGTGCCTGCCTCACAGCGTTCTTGGCAAAGAGGAGATGGTTGAGAGTCCCCCATTACCCACACCCAGAAACCTCCAAACCCAGACACTCCAGAAACATGGCGGTTGTGCTAGAGCCCTCAGCAAACCTTCCATTAATGGACTTCCGAAGTTAAAGACAAATCCCATGGAATGTTGCAGATTGGACTTTCAAACTAGGCACTGTTGTCTTGCCCAGAAACCTCATGAATCTTGGGCTTCAAAAGAAGAAAAAGTCACCAACAAACACAGACATACCCACCCTCATTTAGGCATTGGTGCGGCTGCTCCAGGCAGAGGCAGCAGAAGATTCCAGGCTTTCAGAGAGGGGGCGCAGGATGTCTGGTTTCTATGCCCTATGTTGTTTCCTCTCATTGATGCACCCAAGCATGATTCACAGAGGGGCCGGCAAAACAACGGTCAAATTGTTTGAGGAATTTTCTCTGTATTGATTTTGCTAGGTCTCATGTTAGAATTTATGGTTTACTCAAAAATTTCATCATCAGGGAAATTGGCTTTCCCTAGGGTCTTTTGCCCAGGAGAAGTTTTACCTCAGTTGGTGAGTGTTTTTTCACCTGGTGACTGAGGCCTACTAAATGAGGAGAGGTTTTCCTGAGCATGCTGGATGCACTCCAGGTTATGACAATGATACTTCTATCACAGAGCACTCAGATGTTTCTAGAAATGCAGGGTCCTGTCCCTGTGAAAGCTCTGTAGGTCAGGAAGCTCCCAAGGCCCCTCTGAAAATAGCACCAAGCAAAGACCTTGGCAGCTCAGGTGCTAGACTGAAACAGGCACCGTGCAATGTCCATCTGTCTCCAAGAGCTTCCCCTGGAATTGTGCTCTCCTGCCCACTGCCCGGACAAGGCCGTGGCAGGGGCCTTAGGGATATTTTCCATCGTACAGAGCTTTAGGGTGACAGATTCCAAGCAAGGGTTTGATCATGCTTTTCACTCATTTGGCTCTAAGGGATGCATAATGACCTTATTTTTAAAAAAGAAAAGGAAAACCAATGAAAAGCTCTGCCTCTGCTGGCACTTTCACAGCACCCTTGCTGGGTGTCTGAGGGTGTCAGAAACAGAAATCAGTCAACAGGGGAGACCTCTGCTTCTCACCTGTCTTGGCCTGTCTCAATGTGGAGTTTTGCCCTGCCACCCACTGCAGTCTTTGTCTTGTAAGGTCATTTCAGACACACAAGTCCAGAGTAGAGTAAACTGCTGGCTCAGAATTTGGGGGTGTGGGGGGAAGGCAGCTACTAGGGGATGCTCCAGTCAGAAGAGAGGTCAGGCGTGCATCGGTGTTTTCCCTCTCCCCTCTGCCCTCTGCCCTTCACCCTCTGTCCGTCTGTTCTGCACCCATGTGTGTTACCCCAGCCTGCTTAGGTAACCTTTCCGTGAGCCCTCAGAGCTACTTGATAGTGTCAGTGCAGCCATTTTCACTGACCAGTCAGTTCTTTCTGTCAACCATCCAGTTGGTTTGGCTGGCACCTGACCTTTGAAGAGAAAAGGGCAGATCCAAGAGCAAGTGAAAGGGGATTGGAAGGTCTTTCCTATTAGAAGGGTAGACCTTCTAGTTCTAAAGAGAATTGTTTTTTTGCTCTATAGGAGATTCAAGTGGGGCTTAAGGCCCAGGCCCATCAGGCAGAAGCAGCTTAAACACATCTGTGTATGAGAGGATGGGGGATGCCCCAAAGTAGAAAAGACATAGTCTTAGTCATTTTGTGCCATTGTGTAAACAGGGATTTGTTCCCTGGTTGGGGCTGAATGGGCAATGTAAAGGCTGACTGGAAGTCACAGCATTTTCTGTTGTCTCAGTAAATTTCAGGAGTTTATGTTCCCCTCCCACACACACACACCTTTTTAATGATTTGGGCTTTCTGGTGGGCTTAGTTTGCCTCATAACTCACACTTGAGACTGCCTGTGAGTTGCTTGTTTCGTATTTACAAAATAGCCAAACCTTATTCTTTCCAGGAAAGGCAGTGTGTGTTGCTGGGCTCTAGAGTCCCATGGAGACTCTGTTGGGAAGTAGTGTCTAGAACATTTCATCTTAAGATTCTATAAATCTCTGGTGCAGAATTCTTGGATTTAGTTGAAGTGTTGGAACTTGGGAGTCATACTGAACTCCCCTGGACTTCTGCTCCATGATTCCATTTTACCTCCAGCAACCAATGCTTCTCTCACCCTGCAGTGGCAAACTCAGTTGTAGGTAGCAAAGACCTTTCTGTCATCCCTAATGATTTTGACAAGTCTGTGACCCCAGATTACAACCAGCAGTTTTGCCACTGGAGCTTTTCCTGAGCCCACTATTCTTAGTACTGGGTTTCATTTGGAGACTTGGAATGGGGAAATGGGATCTGGCAACCAGGTTTGTTTGCAGTCATGTAGACTTGAATCATTTTTGTTATTTGAGGTGGAAAATTGAAATGGTCAAGTCTTTTTTTTTTTTTCACTTAGAAAAGTAAATACTATGCTTTTGTAATTAATGCCTTTCAACTAAATTGCTAAGGGTCACTCATCTGCTGGGGTCCCACCTGAGTTGTATTAGTAGGTCAGCCGTCTGTAAACAAAAGTGGCCCTTTATTGGCCCAAAATTGGTAAGACTCACTGGCTTCCAGGCAGGACCGGATGATTCCCTTACTTCTCTGCACTCTGCTGTTCTGTAGTCTCACTGAGTAGGTTTTGTACCTAAAAAAATAGTAACGGCACAAAATGATGGCTCCTTTAAATATAGTAAAGTCTTAAGTAGCCAGAAGGGAGGAAATTTAACTTGGGTAAATGACTATCACAGTGTCTTCATGCATTTAAGCCTGCAGTCCCTAAAAATCCATGGGGAAGGGTAGAGGGTTCAGCCTTCATTTTGTGAGAGAGGCTAACAGATCAGATCCTTAGCCTTACAAACAAGATCACCTGGGCCCATAGCTGTACAAATCACATTGCATCTTCCTGAACTTCCTCCCGTGCGAACAACTGTGCTTCATTTACTGTTATATTTGTATCACCTGGAAGCTTAAGGGACTCCTTAAAAACTTACTGTGATGTCTTCCATGTAACTATGCTACCTTTATGTCTACTGAAAGGGAGTGTCTGCATCTGAAGGGAAATTAAACATGAACAACCATCCTTTTAGTTGCACTCAATATCTATGTATGACATACACATTAAATGAATGCTTTCAGGCCTAAAATATCTAGTTCTTGTAAAGAAGGAATATTATAATTAAGTTACAGCATGTCATTTGATTTTTATTTTGCTCTTATTTTCTGAATGTTCACACCTGGGTTTACACCCAGGTGATAGAGACGTTTTTATGTAACACACCCTTTCGGTCATGTGTGTATGTTGTGCCAGGTCGCTGCACAGAGCGTGCCACGCCCAGAGAAGCACACAGCTCCACAGGTGACCACCACGACTCTCTAGTCTACCCTCTTTTTCTTCTTAATTATGATTTACTGTGATGATTTAATAAAATAGAAACACAGCACTTATGTGCCATATGTTTTTTTGTTTGTTTTCATTATCATCTGTAGGAAAATGAAGTTTATCCTAGCATTTAACAAAAGATGGTTTGCGTTTTTACCAGAAAAGTTGTTCAAAAGCTTTCTGTTTCTAAATCGAAGCTGAAATATTTATTCAAAATAGTAGTCAGTACCTACCCAATGAAAAACTGGCCCCTGAGTGCATAACATGGTACGCTAAGACTACTCAAATGAGTATTTGAGTCTAAGCATTATCAATCTAATGGATTTAAATTCATCTCTTCACAAATAAATAGCTGAGTCTATATTTCCTGCGATTTGTATCAGGGCCCACGGGACCCTCAACATTGGCTCCCATCTCTCCGGGTGGCCCTCTGCACGAGCCACCCTTCCAGAGGTCTAAAGGCTCAGGCCCTGATGAGCATGTAATTAATGGCCTCTGTTGCTGTGGCTGAAGTCATGTCTATGCACTGGCCTCAAGACTACAACCATCATGTTCTAATGTCCCAACCAGGTGGCTTTTGCCCGTGTTCTAAGCTGCTCCTGTGCTCTGGATAGCAGTGAGCTTTCAGGACATTGTACAATTGAGCTCTCTAAAAATCATCCATTTGTTCATTTAGCAAATATTTATGAGTACCTATTACTTATAAGACATTTCTATGACTTCAAAATGGGTCCTGGTTCTGAGCCAAAGAGAGCCAGAATCAATTCGGTTTTTTTAGCTTTTGACTGATAACAAGAACATGCCTTGAAGGTATGTCGTGCTTTTAATACTTGGCTCCTCATAGAATGAAGCTTGACACTGAGGTTATTATTTTTTAAGGTTGCCTTTTTGTTTTTTTAAACATTTTATTTATTTATTTTTAGAGAGCAGGGAAGGGAGGGAGAAAGAGAGGGAGAGAAACACCAGGGCTTGGTTGCCTCTTGCGTGCCCCCTGCTGGGGACCTGGCCCACAACCCAGGCATGTGTCTTAGATTGGGAATTGAATCAGTGACCCTTTGGTTTGCAGGCCCACACTCAGGCTACTGAGCTACACCAGCCAGGGCTTTATGCAGAGTTTTAGAAGCAGTGGTTCCTCCCAGCCCTGCTGTGTGGTTGTGCCCCATCCCCCACTTTGATTCTGGTCCACCAGGTCTGAGTATCTGGATAGACCCCCAGCACTGGTATTTTTAAAGCCTTCCCTTATATCCCAGGATTCTGACCTGCAGATAGATTTTGGTTGTGGCTTAGACCAGCCCTGTTGTGATAGTTTGGCCAGCGCTTACCTCCTGTCTTGTTTGTGCACCCCGGAGTAGAGGGAATATCAGGGAAGACTTTCTGGGGAGCAGGCTTATCTACAACTGCTCAGCGTAGTGTCCCACCCCTTCTACTGACTCCACTTTATAGATGGCCCCAGTTCCCTCCAGGATAATTTGTGGATTTTTTTTTAGATCTCGACTGTCAAAGGATATTGTTATGAAAGTCATTTGAAAAGCAGTTTATTGTCTTATTTATGAAAAAAAGATGGAAGGGGTCCAGTCATCATACTTCCTAAAGTGATTCCATTCATTTTCAAAAAATATGCATCAAATCTTAGCCCAAGTCATGCCAGACCTTCAGCAAAATTCCAAAAAGAGTTAACTTTCAGTGGTTCCCAAAGGACCATTGCTACAAATAATGACCTCAGCCTTTCTTGACTTTTGCTAAGTGCCAGAATTTAAGATAATAGTGATACCCTTAAGTAACCCTCTGGCCATAGTAAAATTCTCTGAGTATTCCAGAAAAAAATATGGATTTTTTTTATGTTCACTGCACTAGAGAGTCTCTCTGTGCAATGCAACTCAGATCTTTGTATTTTGTTCACTTTTTTACACCTTTGAGCTAGTGTTATGCTCCTGCATGTGTGTATAAACTAAATTGAGGCCACTTTGATTTACTAAATGATTTATGTCAAAAGTAACTATTATCCTTTGCTTTTTATTTTATAAATGGAAATGCTTTTAATTTCATTTCATTGTTCAATTCAAAAAGCAAAGTTCATGAAAATGGAAGACAAAGTAAACATCATCCCTGCATATCCGGTTTACCTGAGGCACTGATCCTTGCCCGTGCCCTAGCTACATCCTCTGCAGTTACTGAAACATGCCACGGGCTCAGTGGATTCACACAACTGGAAAGTGGAGCTCCAGGCCAGAGCTGAGTGTCATGGGCCCCATTTATTGCAACACACCCATTTAGCAGTAGTCACCATTCTTAATCAGTGCATGGACAGTTTGTTTCCATGTTCCTTTTGGCCACTGTGAAGGTTTCCCTAGGGCCAAGTCTGAAGCCACTCTGACCCTCCTCTCCTGGACCAGGTGCTACATGGACCACCAGGAGCACCAAAGTTGGGGAACTTGTTTTACCAGGTGACTCTCACCTATTCACTTTATGGGCAAAAAAGAGGATGCTGGCGTTGATTTTTCTCTATAAACCTGGAAATACAAATTGCTAATGTCTTCAGGTCTGAGAAATAGATGTTGAGGTGAAGAACCCAGAGCAGAAGCAGGCTGCACATGCTGCCAATGCTGATTGTGGGCAGGTCTGCCACACTCCAGAAGGTTCCCTTCTGTTCTCGGCATACCCAGGTCCTCAGAGTAATTCAGCACTTGCTGCAGTCTGGCCAAAATTTTATGTTCGTTGTCTCCCGAAAAAAGGGTTTATGTTTCCAGAGTTTGAAAGGAAAAAGCTAAAGATAAATCTGTGTCCTTACATACCCCAGTACCTCATCTTGAGTGGAGTGGAAAGACTTGCTTCTGACACTGAGGTCACAGATCTTTAGCTTGCTGTCTACCACAGCTCAAAACACATCTTCACAAGATAAATAACAAAACAGCTGACACCTCAAGAGATTCAGGAGCATTTTAAATAATAGTAATATTCTCTCTGCCCCGATACACTCTCAAATGCATCCTCCAAAAAAAATCAAACAGCAAAGAAGCTAGCAGGAACCCTGAAATTATACTTTCTGGGTAATAGAAAAGAATCTGCTGGAATTGGATATTGGTTCTTTTTCATTGATAAAATTACAAATTTAAAATAATTTTAATACTTAAGCCTCCACTATCCCAACTTAGATTGAATTATATGAAGGGGGTGATAATTTAGAACAAGCTGTCATGTTAAGAAATATTTGAAAAAATCTGCCTCTTACACAGCAAAGGAGAAATTAGGAAGTTCTTGTTTGTACCTTCCTTCTTCTACCATGTCTGGCATGAAAAACATTGACCAGATTTTTTTTAGAGATTCACACCAACATATTCCTTCCTCAGCTATCAGAGGATATTGTTCATGTTATTGAAATTTTGATTTAGAACATTATTTTAGAAAATAAAGACTAAATGAATAAATTCTCCCCAGGGGCAGGAGCACCCTTCTTTATGTATCCAGGTGTAATTTTAATCTTCCACTTAGATGGCCCGCCTTTCACTCTAGCAAAATGCTTGCTGGGTTTAACAGAGAATGTTTTATATAAAGAGGTCACACTTGTCAGTTTCCACCTTGACTGGAGGTCCTGGGGGTCTGAAAAGTGGAGTGTGCTTCTCACTGAGAGTGCGAAGTGGGAAGGGGCTCGCTATTATAGCTCCTGAAAAGATGTTTTTGACTCCAGAAAATAGCCTAGCAGAGAAAAGCTTTTTCCCATGAATACCCAGGGTCTGCATTATGCTCCTCAGATGGTGGAGGTGAGTACTTTTGATCAATATTCGCTAAGAAATGGGCACTGGGCTAAGTGCAAGGGAAAGGCTTCAATAACTCATCTCCCTATCCCACCTGCAGAGCATTTCAAGCAAATCTCTTGTGAACAGTTTAAACCAGTGAGGCTGCACATTAATGGCATCATCTCCTCCCTTTAAAAGGTGCCACCCCATCTTTTCCTCCATGTTGATGCCTAGTTATGGGCCCCTAGAAACAGTTATTTCTGTAGCCTTTCTTCTGGGAAATTGTGTCATTCTCATTTTAGGCACCAGGAAAAGTGAGTCCCTGAAACCATTTTGACATGAAAAAGAAGGCACAATGCCAAAAAGAAAACTTAAAACAGTAGCTTTTCTTAATCAGGGAAGATTTACTTAAGATTTTAAGGAAATAGCCAAAGTATAGATGTGTGCTTTAACCAGGTATTCTATACTTTTTTTCCCTAAAACTAATGATCCACTCCCATTCCATATCACCACCACCTTCCTCTATCCTGCTTTCCAGATTAATGCAAACACACACAAAGATACAATGTTTTTTATAGAAATAGCAGCAAATAATACACACTATTCTTTAACTTCATTTTTTTAAATTTTATAGTATATCATGGGCATCCCTCCCCTCTAATTTGTTCTTTTTCATCATTGTATATTATTCCTTAATAAGGATGTACCTTTCTTATCTCATCCCATCTGTGATTTCCAATGTATGTTATAGCAAATACACCTGCAATAAACACCGTCGCACCTTAGCTTGACATCCTACTACTTTAATTTGAGATCATTCTCAAAATTGAAATTACTTAGACAGTTTATATAATTTTAGCCATAGTGGACTATTTGTTCACTTCAGAATTCTATAAAATCAACTTTAGAAGTCTATTTTTTTTAAAAAAAAGCAAAGCTAAGATCCATGTCTTTCCATGTTTGTATAATGGAACTCATTAAATTACCCAGCAGCTTAAAACATTTTTTTAAAGGGCTGCACCCAGTAAAAGACAAAATTTCAGACATGATAAATAGGCATTTGTGGACTAAAGAAAGTGAGGCCTCCCATTCATGTATGCCCACTCCATGAATTTCTTCCCTTTAAAAACTTCCCGATTTTGAAATTTCTGCATCAGAGTAAGTTCACCTTTTATTGTAGATGGGGAGGAACATAGACCTGGACATGGGATAGTACTGGCTTCAAATATCAGTCACACACTGCCCATGTGGCCTTGAGCCCTTGAGTCCCAATCATCTTGACTCTTGTGAACTGAGGTAATAATAGTATTATTGATTGTGGAGGCCAGCCT